GTGATTGTTCGAGGCGGAGGACATATTTTGCCCTATGACCAGCCTCTCAGATCGTTCGACATGATCAATCGATTCATCTATGAAAGAGGATGGGAACCTTATAATTGATGAACTAAATCTGTTTTCCTTTAAAAAGTGTTCAGAGTTTTAATCGTTGAAAAGAACACATTTTTAAAAACTGAAAACATCATATAAATGAGGAAAGTATCTTTTCATAACTGCAAAATGTTTGTCATCAATAAAAATTAACTATCCTTGAAACAAATGAGCTTTTGGGAAAGATGGCTTATTACAAAAGAAAGAATTTCATGACTTTGGAAGAATGAGTTCTGTGGCACTGATTCAGATAATGGATAAGCGAGATTTGAGAGTCTTAACTATTAATTGTGTGTGTATGCATGTGTACATGTGTGTGCTGATCTTGAACTCTGGCCTGGGTGCTGTCCCTCAGCTTTCTTACTCAAGGCTGACACTCTACTGCTTAAGCCACAGCTCCACTTAGGACTTTTGATGGTTAATTGGAGATAAGAATCTCATGAACTTTCCTTTGAATCGCAACCCTCATATCACAGCTTCCTGAGTAGCTAGGATTACAGGACAGGTTTGAGGCACTGGCACCCAGCTAAACTAGGAATTTTTTAAGTTTCCTAAGTAAGCAAAAAGTTCAGCAAGTTAAAAAAAAGTTGTAAACAATCTCCCTTTGGTAAATATGATACATTTGAAGGTGTTCAATAAATATTACTGCATTTAAAAAATAGCTGTTGCCAGCTATTTACTTAGGAGGCTGAGTTGTGAGGATCACTGTTCAAAGCCAGCTCAGTGAGGAAAGTCCCTGAGACTCTTATTTCCAGTTAACTGGCAAAATAATAAAAAGCTGGAAGCAGAGGTGTGCTTCAAGTGGTAGAGCACCAGCTTTGAGTGGTAAAGCTAAGTGATAGTGCCCAAGCCCTGTGTTCAAGCCCTAGCACTTTCACTAAAAGGAAAAAGAAAGGAGAAAAGGCAAAATTAAAATTTTTAAAAAGAAAAAGGAAAGATAAAAGGGAACAGCTGTTATCACACCTAACAATGAGTGAAGTTATAACAGCCATGGAGAAGAACTTTGTTTAAAAATGTAATGTGAGTATAAAATGGAGGTGTGGAGTTTCAGAAATAAGAATCCTATATAAAAAGCCTGATGTGTCAATTTATGATAAGGAAACAGAATCTCATGCAGAGAACAAACTTGATCAGCTCTTTTTCTTCCTTCCTTCCTTCCTTCCTTCCTCTTTCTTTCTTTCTTTCTCTTTCTCTCTTTCCTTCCTTCCTTCTTTCTTTGTTTCTTCTTTCTTTCTTTCCTCTTCCTCCTTTTCTTCCTCCTGAGTTTTTTGGTTTATTTCAAGTGTAATCATTTATCAGACTGATAATTTTAATTTTAATTTGACTTTAAAATTCTCTGCTTCCTGTCACAACTAAAGTGCAACCCAATTGTTGGAGTTACAATCTGAGATAAACTAGGACCAAGATGTAGACATTTACAAGTCTACATGCATTGTTTATTTTCCAAATGAACTCCCATGTCCCTGCAGACTCTCCAGTTCGGCATCATGTGCACATATCTCTGAAATTTCAACATCATTCCTCAATTACCAGTCTATGAACTGGTTCACTGGAGAATTAATTTTGTAACAGTCAACTCCTGTTCTTGCTGTAAATATTGAGTTTGATCCTTTAACTCCTCATTTTGTGCCTGATTACACTCAGGTTTGTTATTTTCCTTTTTTAAGGCTATATTATTCATGGTGCTCGTGTATGAGAAGCCATCAAATCAAATATTCTGGTCAAAATCAGATTAATTATTGCAGAGAGTAAATGAGCCAAGGAGTATGCAAATATTTTTTTTCATCTATCCCTTTCTGCAGGTTAAGTTAACTTAATTTTGATCCATAAACATGTAGCAGAAAGGTTACTGACCTTGATTTGAGACCTGGGATTTAGTCTTACCTGAGCCACCATGAACTTTGGAAGTTTTGGATAATTTACTTCTCAACAATAACTTCCCAAATCTCAAAGAAGGGTCACCAGAGAAGATTTCAGAGATGCTTTTACATTCACGGGCCATTTCTACAAGGGTAGATGAAACATTCAATCCCAATTATTCGTGGATTGTGTATTTGAGAGCAGCTTATTTGCTAAAAATTTATTTTTAAATCAAAAGTTAATATTGGCTCTTTTTTAGTTCATGGACAGAGTGACAAAAAATTTGAGTCGTTCAACGTGTTCAGCTCTTATAATATGCGCAAGTGGCCAGTCCAGGTTTGCTTAGTGCCATATCCTCTGCTTTTCTTAGTACTTTCTGCTACTTATTTTTCTGTCTAAGATGGTCCCAAGCACAGTTCTTAAGTACTCTTTAATAACCCTAAACACAAGAAGGTTGTGATGTTTCTTTTAGAGAAAATATGAATGAATGTTAAGTTTTATCTAGGCATGATTTATATTGTCGGCTCTTATGTTCAATGTGAATGAGTCAACAATACATATTAAGTAAAATGACTAAGAAACACACATGGAGCATGATTATGTATTGACTGATTGACAAGAATGTTTTTACCAAAGGCTTGATGAAAACTAGCTCTATATTTTCCTTAAGAACCAAGGTTTAGAATTGACCAATTCAATGTTAGAGAATTAGCTATTGACAGAGCATTTGATCAGAGGGACTGGCACAAATAACACTCACTAAGTGGAAATTGTGTTTTCATTTTTATTAACTCTCTGCCCCCAGATAATAAGTGGTATGAGTGGAGGTGGGGACACAACTTTTATGGCCTTCCACAAAGTGACTCGTAACTAGTTCATCTGAGGTCCAAACCCATAGAGACTGACTCTCAGATATTTGGCTTTAAAAGAAGAGAGGGAATTGAATTCCAGAAACCAAAGAAAAATAAGTTTTCTGGAGCCAGTCCTTTAACAGAGATTATCCAAGTGGGATACATACCTTCTATGAGATTGATATAACCCATTAAGGTCTAGGCAGAAAACTTTAGAATTCTGTCTATACTTGCTTTATTTCAAAATAAGATCACAGAAGTGGTGAGACAAAGCACAAAGGTTGAACCAATGCAACAGCGATACTCAGAAGACACTATGTTAGAAATGAACTTTATAACTTGGGGGAGAGAAGAGTCAGGGGGAGGGACAGCAGGAGAAAATGGGGGAGAACTACACTCACCACAAGAATTGCACACATTTCCTTACTTATATAACTGTAACACCTCTGTACATCACCTTTACAATAAAAAAAAATGAGATAACAATCAAGCCTTGTTAATACTTAATGCTACCTGATCTCTGTGACCTCCCTAAATCCAGATGTAAGATGGTCTAATGTCTCATGGGACAAGCAGCAGCCACAAACAGGTGGAATTGTGTAGAGGGGGATTCTCATGGTTCTGAGCCCAGTATTTTGCCAAGACTTGCAATTTTGGTTGGTATAGTATTGATTGCATAAAGACAAAGGCTGCCAAGAGCACATCTTTGTATTACTTTGTGCTGTGATGAGGTATAGGTGTGCAAGTAGGCCTGTTGCCCCCACCTCCCCTCCCCTGTCACCTCCTGCAATGTGTTTAAGGAAGCTGTGGAGCCTCAGCCTGAGTTATGCCTTTTTCTTCAACAAAGACCAGTTCTGTAGACTTGCTATCATCTTGTTATGGCAAAGTGGCTGTTATGGCAAAGTGGCTTGGTATGGCAAACTGTCTCACCTAGCAGGTGTTTCTGGAAAAGTATATGCAAAATCTCTCACTTCAGAGTAGAAGTGATGCTTTCACAATTCCTGAAAAAGTTAATTTCATTTGAAAAGAACAACAAAGTTGAATCTATGACAAGAGCATTTTGAGAACAGATGTTTGGAAATGTTACCATCTTACCATAAACATATTACAACAACAAAAATGTCCTTGAAATCCAAAAAAGTTTCAGCAAAAATATTCGCAAAAAATAATAAATGGGATGAAGCAAGGCATGTTGGGAATGAGTACAGATCATCTGAGAGGCATTTCTCCCATGTGGGTCTAACCAGCTCTGAGTGCTGTCTTACTCAGTTCTGATGGACTTTGAAGCCATGCATTACAATAAACTGGATATGTAACCAGACATTAATTGCTACATTATAAAAGGCTAAACCAGGATTTTTTCCAAAATAACAAAGGCTATCCAACCTAATGATCTAATGAACATTAACAGTAATGTTTTAGAATGCAAAATTACTTTGTACTGTAATAAATCAAATGCAATTATAAAGATTAGATATTTTAACTTTTATCTCTATCCTTTTAAAGTTTCTACTTTAAAACTTTATAATATATGTGTTATTTAAGCAGTAGTGCATACTTACATTTTATGTATAAAGAAATATTGATATGCAATTTAGATATACCTTCAACACTTTATTTCAGTATTACATGGAACTCAGGGCCTCATGCTTACTAAACAGGTACGCTATCAGTAAACTATGTACGCTCTTAGACTCAGAAATATTTTAATGATAAGGCTGACAGCAAAAATATTTAGATACTATTGCTTGAGAAGAAATGTCAAAGAACACTTAAGCTTTGTATTGATTTTACTAAGTTAAAAGGTAGCATCTGCCAAACACCAGTGGTTTATATCTATAATCCTAGATACTCAGGAGAGTGAGATCTGGAGTTTTGAGGTTGGAGATATGTCCTGGAAGAAAGGTCCAAGAGATTCCATCTCCAATGAATCAAAAAAATGCTGGGATAGAGCAATGGCACAAGTGGAAGAACTGCCAATATGAACGAGAAAGCTGATCAAAAAAGTGAGGCCCTGGGGGAGGAGGATTGGGTGTGGGCGGGGGGTACGGGGGGGG